ATGATTGATAATTTGAAAGAGGAAGAATAAGGATTAAAATGATTAACATGAATGACTGATAATTTGAAATAGGAAGAAAAGGTCCAAAGGGGTAGGGGAAGTGGGAGGGGAAGGGGAAAGGAAAGAAGGGAAAGGAAAAATTATAAGAAAAGGAAAAAATGGAAATAAAGTGTTTGTAAATATGGAAGGGTGCAGGGGGTGAAGGGAGGACAGGGAATGGGGAAAAAATAAGAACCAAGATACATCATGTACAGGTACAAGTACCCGGTGATAAATGTAAATGGACTGTATATTTAAAATGCACCAACAAAAGAATTTAAGCAAAAAAATAAATAAATAAATGGGAAAAATAAATAAATAAATAAATAAAAGTCCTTTACAGCTAGTGGAGGGGGGGGGGAATGAAAACTGTAAAGAGCTAATACTTCTAGGAGCTGCAGCTATGTTCATATAAATAGTAAAAGTTTCATTGTACCTCTTTTTTCTGTTCAGAAAACCAGCTGGTATCTTTGTTTGACCCTTGTGGAGATACATGAAGATCCACCAGGACAGCAAAATCCTTGCACTGAAAGACACCAATGGCAGAGTCAAAATCTGTGTGTCTCACACTGAGCAAATAATGAGAAAAAATCCTACAACTTCCTACAGGACAAATTTCTAAGTGGCAGCAGAGTCTGCTGCTGGACAGAAATCTAAATCATCATAACCTACTGTTTCGTAAGTTTAACATTTATAGGAGAAATGCTAAGAAGAAATACAAGGGCTCTGTCTCTGGGCCACATGGGGAAAGGGGATGCCTAGACATCCCAGTGACAGTGGAAGACTAACAAACATTCTGAGAAATTAAATGGGTCAGAACTAGGTTCGTTCCAGAAAGGACTGATTCTGTGCATAGCTAAGGCAAATCTTCCTTCCAAACAGTAATTAACAGAAAAAGCTGTTGCATTATTAGACAAAAGATTGGCTGGGATAGACATCTTGACATAGAAAAATAAGCTGGGAAGAATGAGAAGGAATCAAGGAGAGGAAGGCAGATACTGAATGCCAGTTATCAAAACTAAACAGTTTCAATAAAACAGCTTCTTCTCTTGTTCTGTTGGTTCACACCATCCAGGACTTGGGCACTTCTCTGCTGCTTACCAGCAGAATCACCAGAGCCATATGAGGTCACTAAAAATGTAGAAAGTGACTGAAAAAGCCAAATTTTAAATTTAAACAGCCTCACAGGGCTAATGGCTCTGTACTCAACAACACAGTTACAGATCCCATGAAAAATTATAGCCTTATAATCCTCACACTTGCTCAGTAATATCTGAGAATCCTAAGCGTGAACAAATTAATCTGAAAAGACTGTGGGTTGGGAATGTCAAAGACCCAGAGGCTCAGTTTGCAAGCCACAGGAAAAGTCACTTTGATATCTCTTTGGTTAAAGTTTTTTTTTTTTTGCAAATTATGTGTTATAATTCAATGGTGAAAAAAAGTTGTTTCAACAAATGGTGTTAGATCAACAGATACAAATACAGAAAGAAAATAAAACCTGGCACTGGCCTCTTACATACACAACTTAATTTTAGATGAATTAAGGATTTAACATAAAAGCCAAAACCAACTTTCCTTTGTCTCCCTCTTTTTCCTTCCCTCTCTCTCCCTCCGTCTCTCCTTTCTTCTCCTTCTTTTTTTTTTTTTTTTTTTTGTTGAGACAGGTTTTTTTCTACGCAGTTCAAGCTGGCCTTGAACTCATGGCGATGGTCCTGTCTCAATCTTGTGTGCTGGGATTACAGACATATGCCATCATGCTCAGTCAAAAAGTATCTTTTTGACCTTCGGGCAGTAAAAGATTTCTTAGATAGGATCCAGAAAATACTAGAGAAGAAAAATTTGTTAAAATGAACATGGTGGAAGTCAAAAACTTGGGTGCATCTAAAAACACATCATTAGTAAAATGAATGTGTATGTCTCAGACTGAAAAAATGTATTCATAAATACATGTATCTGACATAAAGTACCGGTATTTAGACAGTCCTACACATTGATACTGAAGAAACAATGCATTGAAGCAGACACTTCACAAATAAGTGAATGGCTAATAAATACATGAAAAAAGTGTTTACCATCATTAGTCATCAAACAAATGCAAATGACAAGCACCAAGAGATACAGCTACAATATTCATCAAGCTTACTGAAATGAAAAAGACTGACAGAATACTGTGAACAATACCAAGGATCCTGAGCAACCCAGGCTCTCACAAAAAACATTGGGGGAAAAGTAAAATGGTTCAATCACTTTGGCAAATGGTTTCTCAATTTCCTACTGATAAACCTGTATTTGTTTACTGACTGAACCAATAATCCCACCCCAGGTATTTACCCAGGAGACATAAAAGTTATGTGCACACAAACATATGTATGCAGTTCATGAAAGTTCATGGAAGTTTTTTTCATAATAATCAAAACTGATGATGGTTTTACAGCCTATCAACAAAATATACAAATGGTGTTACACTTGCACACTAGAATGCCTCTCATTGAACTACTGATATGATCAACATGGATTTATCTCAAAAACATTATCCATTATTTATCAGTTCCTTTCACTATATATAATTTCTCAGTAATAAATAATTTTAAATAAAATGCATTCATATTTGTAGGTATTTAAAATGTAGGTATTATTTCACTGAAATGTGTGGACTTCTATGATGTCAAACAGTGTACTGCAGCCCACTAAAGTACAGTTCAGTGTGTAGCAACCACTATTTTACTGTAATGAAAGAGACTCAAAGAGAATATTAGAATATAATAAAAAATACCAATGTGTCACATAGTAAGCCTGAGGACCCTATTGTGAAATGTAAGTATGTGTGTACTGATATGGTGGCAAGCCTAATTCCTATTGTAGGTTGTGCTAAAAATGTTTGAAAACCATGCTTAAGTACATTGTTTAAAATTTCTTCTCAACTGTTGATTACAGACTTAACCTTTAAGGAGTTTGCTGCCACCAGGTGGAGGTCTCATGTCAGGACTACATGATCTTGGCCAAGGGACATTAACCATTTGTATGCCACAGACCTCTTTAGCAAGCTGTGAAGCTGATAAACTAGCTCAGAATGGTTTTAAATACATAAAACAATGCACAGAATTAAAAAGAAAACTGATTACACTGAAGTACAGTTATCAAAATTTAAACAAAAATTTGTGATATAGTACTGTATGTATATTTATGAAGGTGCTGGCTCTCACCTTAGTGGATCTAGTGGCTACTACATATCCAAAGTAGTGAAGAGCATAAATGACATTTTCAGATTTCTGCAACAACTACAGAATGAAGAGCTGTAATATCTAACGGTGAAAAATACTAATACTTTGAATCTTCATAATAACATAGATGAAAACTACATTTATTATAACTCAATCAAAATATGTAAATTTCTCCCCATCCAACTTCACTGAAACTGAATTTTATTACAGGCTCACTGAGGTTCTGGGAATTGGGAACAAATGTCCCTCTAAAGCAGTGAGATGTGCCTCACACACACTCTCCTGCGGTTTCCTGTAGGTACTTGTCTAAACCAAGTTCTCTTTCCCCCTTCATTAGCAAATATAATTCTCAAAAAAAATTTTTTTTTAAAAGAGTGATCTCGAGGGCCGGGGATTTAGCTCAGTGGTTTCACCGCCTGCTGCACAAGTGCAAGGACCAGAGTTCGATCCCCGGTACCAAAAAAATAAAAATAAAAAATAAAAAAAGTGATCTCTGAACAACTCAGCCCGATACTGTCACAGAAACTTTTTAAAGAATTAAATAGTAAAGGTCCAACTTGGTATTTTTCTCACCACTTTGTTACTTTGATCACAACCCAATGTAAGTTTAATTATAAATAGGCTGATTAGAGCATCTTTTCCTTTTATTTAAAATGAATCATACAATCTTATTCTGGTGATGAAACCTTCCTGGGTTTCTGGAAGCCTCTGCTGCTGGGCAGGCAGCCCTTCCTTCATCCTGGCCAGCAACACCTGGGCAGCAGCCGCTGCTCAAACTCCCACACTAATCAGAGCAGCTGTGCCTTTCTAAAGGCCCCTGGTCTCAAAGCTTTGCTGCTTTTCTCCCATGAGTAAAGAGAAGTTTAAAAAAAAAAAAGCTCTTACCACAGCAGGCAGCACAGCCTCCCTTCCTCGTCCTCCTTAATCATGAGGAGACTTTCTACTCTCAGAAGATAAACTCTTAAGCTCTCTTTAGAAAGGAGCAACCTGGTAACCATCACTTGGACCACAGCTGATCATGGTACAAAGACTAATCCACCTCATGGACAGCCCAAGAATAAGAGAAATAGCTCTGCACTCCACATGCTGGGCTATGCATGGACAGGCAAGGGTCTAGCCCAGCTTCTCCTGTACTTGGAGCTTTCAACCACAAACCTGGGGTTACCCCAGCTCTCTCCTAGCCCTACCCCAATAGAACTGGTCAACACATCTTGTCCGTTTCATTTTTTAAAGTGTTCTCAAACATTTCTCACTTTGCTGCTCCCATCATCTCCCACTTGGAATATCAGAGCCACTTCTCATGGCATCTGGATGAATTCCCAATGCCACTATCTGGGCAACCTCTAACATACAAACCTAGTCATACCACAACTCAAAGCCCCACCTCACAAGCCTCTGGTCAGGACCCCTCTCGGCCCTCCCCAAGGCTCTTCAGCTCATGCCTGACTTATTCACCCTATGCTTAAGGATCCACCCTGCTGCTCCCAGACTTGGAGAATTCCTACACATTCCTGAAGCCTAACAGGAGAGTGGCCAGCTCTGGGAAATTTCCTGCACAGTCTACCTTGCCCTCCTTTGGGTCAGACACATTCGTCTGGTGTTTATGGACTTCGGTACAAAATGATTGGTGCATGGAGGGTCCCCTGTGCTAGGCTGTGAGCTCCAGGGGAGACAGGGTCCATACCTCTGTCTACTCAGATATACCAGTGATGAGCACACAGAATATCTTCAAATCTAACGACTGGACAACAGGATCAGTGAACAAATTACAGAACAACTGGCCCTGAATTTCAGGCAAATCGCCTCCTTACATGCACAGTGAGAGTCTGGGGACAAGGCCTTTCTTCCCAGCCCCTGGAACTAAGGCACCATGGAACAACTTCCTCTTTTCTTACTGCAGTGTGGCAGCAACTATGATTTCATCAATGACAATTATTTTCCAAATTGTGAAAAATGGGGATACAAAGATCCTAGGATTACTTCACCATAAACTCACTGCCATCAGGCATATGCTGGTTATTTTTCTTGTCTCTCTCCTAAGAATTCCAGAACTGCATTTTCAATTGTCTTATTCTCAATTCTTTAGAGGAGGGAGAGCTAGGCTTCTGATTTTACACCATGTGTAACATAAAGGTGGAAATATGAACGTCTCACACAGGAAGGGATCTCCACAGCAGGGTCAGAGGTCCAAGCCACGTGGAAAGGTTCCCACATTCTCTTACTCCCTCATTAATTTGTTCATTACACACCTGCTGAGTTTCAGGGGGAATCAGGCCAGGCCCTGGGAGGGGAGGGTTAGCCACAG